CAGTGATGTACAGAGGGATCTGGGTGACCCTGTACACCAGTCAGTGAAAGCACACAGGAAGTTGCAGCAAGCAATTTGGAAGGCAATTTGAAAAAGTGCCTCCAATGCTCGAGGATTTATGCTCAGAGGTAAGGATGTCTTACTGCAGGGTCTTGGTGGGCCCACACCTGGAGAATTGTGGGAAGTTTCTGTGTCCCTACCTCAGAAAGCATTTAATTGTAAAAGAGGGAGATTGGAGGTTTACTAGGCTGAAGCCGGGTGTCATATGAGGAGAGACTGGTTCCCATGGGCCTGGATGGGGAGTTGAGAACCAGGGGACACAGGCTCAGGAATATGGTGTCAATCATTTAGGATTGAGATAAGGAAACGTTGCTTCACTCAGAGCTGGGTCACTGAATATAGAGAAAGAAATCTCTAGATTTTAAAGGCATCAAGATTAGGGAGAGATTGTCGGAACTTGGCATTGAGATACTGGATCAGCCCCCATGTTGGCGAGCAGGCTAGAGGGGCTGAATGGCCTACACCTAGTTTCTATGTTTCAAATAAAGGCGCAGTTGAACTAAACCCTTCTCAGGTTCTCACCTGGGATCAAACACATCTCTGAAGTACGGTTTGACCAAGGGCCTTCCGACTTGATCAGAGAGGCTCCCAGTTGCTCCGACTTTGTGCAAGAAACAAAATAGAATAATAGAGAGCTACAGCACAGAAAGCGGCCCTTTGGCCCATCAGGTCCATGCAAGTCAAAGACAACTATCTGACTCGTTTTCTTGTGTGCCTTGGTGTCATGAGAGCATGTGTAAACACTTCTTCCATGTGAATGAGGGTCTCTACCTCTCCTACCCTTACAGGTAGTGAATTCCAGATTCCTACCACCCTCTTGGGGAAAACGTTTTTCCTCACATCCCCTCTAAACCTCCTGTCCCTTACATTCAATCTATTCCCCGGATAATGATCCCTCCACCCAAGGGGAATAGTTTCTTCCTGTCTACCCAGTCCGTACCTCTCATAATAGACTGTGATTTTCTGTGCAAAATGAAAGATAGTGGGACATTAACACAAGAGAAGCTGATTGGACGGGACAACATGAATTGGAAGTCACACTGCAGCCAATGCAAACAGGAGATAAGAAAGTCTTTTCATCGCTGATAGAATCCCTACAGTGTGGAAACAGGCCCTTCGGCTCAACAAGTCCACACCGAGGCTCAGGACATCCCAACCAGACCCATCCCCCTGTAACCCACCTAATCTACCCATTCCTGGACACTGTGGAACAATTTAGCATGGCCAATCCACCTAGCCTGCACATCTTTGGACTGTGGGAGGAAACCGGAGCACGCCCACACAGACACAGGGATACTGT